CCTCTGTCATCATTTTAAGTGGGGGAACTTGCACAATCGGTGGCTGACTAAATACTTTTTTGCCCCACTGTATCTGACATTCATTAAGACACTTGCAGTGAATATCTGTGGCTGTTTCTTAAATCTCATCTCAACAGTTCTCTTGCTCTTTTGTGAACTGATCCAATAGATTATTTATTCCAGACTGTAACAGCAAACATCTCTACAACCAGTGTTTTTCTCAGATCCTTCAAACTGTTGCAGAGACGTCTCCAGAAAGACAGAACAGATACATTTTCTATTAAAGTAATAATGACTAATGAGTACTTCAGTTACTCTGATGACGTACATGTTTCTGTCTGTCAGGTCCTCAAAATTGTATCCTCGGATGCGTTGGTGGGTGTCAGACGCGAGGACTGTGCGGCCATCACTGAGACACCACAGGCACTGCACCCGAACCCCCTCCCAGGAGTCCAAGAGGTTTCCATCCAAGTCCTGGGAGTTCACCAGAAACAAAGCAAAAGCAGGAGGACGTCAGCCTGGAAATGATTGTTACACTCACTGGACAGTTTGATGTTGGACCAGGTCCAACCTTCTTCTCACTTTAACACTGAATTCATTTTGAGCATCACAGATTCAGCAAAATGCTAAAAATATTTCTGAGGTTTTGCAGACCTGAGACACAAGCGGTCACCCAGATTTGTTGGATGTTTTTAATTTGTGGTCCCTTTTCAATAATAATAAAAACTAGAATGTGCAGCTCCTGGTGGGGTCGATGCTACCTGTGGACTGCAGCTCGCTGTCGGGGGAAGCAGTGAAACAGGTGTGCCTAATAAAGTGGCAGACATTGGGAAATGCGTGTTTATGTTAATCATGCTGTAAGTTGATAATGAGAAACAGGCAGCTGCAGTTTCTCTACACTGAAACTTCACAGTGACCAAAGATAAAGAGACGGATGTTTTCATGACGTATACAAACCAAACAGACATGCTCTGACTCGTCAGCAGAAATTACTTCTGCATATTTTTAAGTTAAACTTTATTCTAATGATGTCTTGTGAAGTCTTGTTCTCATTTCACTATATATGATCTGTGCGTATCAGGACAATGATGTCAGTGATGTCTCACTGCAAAAACACGTGTGTGGTTTGTAACATCATTTATAGAAAAACTGGCCACACCATTAAAACACCAGATTTTCCATAGTTTACATTATTGAACGCACCTATCGTCTAGTGCATAGGTGTCAAACTTTGGCCCGCGAAGCCATACCAAATTATTATTAGAGCTGGCCTGCCAGTATTATACAGTTCATGTACTGCTAATACTACAATTCCCAGAATGCTCTGTTGGTGTTTTGGCGCATCAGTCATGACAGGACCCATTAGCACCCTCTCCTCTGTTGACCATAGTCATAGCAACCATGCAAATACTGCCATGCTACCCATCCCAAAATGGAAAAAAGAAAGGCAGAAAACAGGAGCTTTCTGGACAGGTGGGAGAATATGATGAAAATTTGATAAATGATAAAATGATAAAA